TGGAAGTTCAGATGACTATAGGCACAAGCCTTTGTGAGCTGGTTTGGGTTCCCCTTTCCGCTGGGGCCATACTTCTTTCAGTCCTTCATTGGCTATGGCCCCTGGTGCAGGTGGTTCATATTTTTTCTTCGACTGCAAGCTAGCAACTTTTGTGAGAGGATACACTAAAGATTTTCATTTCTTTTTGACAATTTCTAGTTCTCCAGTGCCTTAGAAATTACTCTGTGCAGTTGATAATTTAACATTCTTATTCTTTGATTAATGTGTAAAAGATGTTTTTATCTATGTAGTATTTCAGTAAGGCTTCCAAACTTTAGCTAAAGAGTAACGTGCGTATATAAATTACATCTGTGTAGATATAGATGAATTTACCTGTGTACCCTGAATACATAAGATATGAATTTTCAAAATGTTATGTTTGAAAAGTCCTCAAGGAGTGATACTTCAGTGCACGTTTAACACACTTCTTTGTTAGAAAGCACAGCAATTTGAAAAAAAGCTTCGAGTACACTTCTTTGTCAAGTGTTAAGTTCCTGGTTAGTTCTGGTTTTTCCCTCCTGACTATGGGCGGAAGGAGAGGAATGGCTGGAGTCAGGGACTCTCTGCAAGGAGATAAAGAAATAGCGGTGTTTCCCATCTGCGGGCACCGCTCTGCGTCAGCCTCGGGTCTTAGGGCAGCCAAGTATTTCGGGATACAAGAGGTGATGTGGGTTCTTTTTATTCTGTTTTGGGACTCACCAAATAGAATATGTTAAATATCCTTTGTGCTCGCTTCAAGTTTGTTTCACAGGGATATGTTATATCATTAGTATATGAATATGCAAGCATAATACAATTTCTTTCATGCCCTAATATCAATATGCTAGTGTCAGTGTTCTCAAACATGCCTCTGTCTTCTATAAATACATATATAGAAGCTAAGAGATGACGATGTTGCAGCATGTTCTTCTTAGAGTAATATGGAAATAAATTAAAAGGTACCATGCAGAGTGCACACTGAAAGAGCACAGGCAGGCAGACGTGCAGGAATGGTTTTGATTTGATTTGGGGTAGAGTGTCGGGCGACGGGAGGGCCTCAGCAGCAGAGCACCAGCCCGATGTTAATAACATCGCTGGAGCTCGTAGCTATAGCTTGATGATACTTTTTGACTGGAATACAAATGCCATAGAGCCATTTACAAGACGGGTGTTTCTTTATAACTTGACTTCATTTGGTTTTGTTCTCGTAGATATTTTCTCACAGATGTCAGATTCCAATGGCTTAATGATATTTAGCAAGTTTGACCAGTTTCTGAAGGAAGTGCTGAAGCTCCCGACAGCTGTCTTCGAAGGACCGTCCTTCGGCTACACGGAGCACTCAGTCCGCACCTGTTTCCCGCAGCAGGTAAGGGCAGCCGTGTGGACCCCAGCTCCAGGAGAGCACGCATGCGTCTGCCACCTGTTCACAGGTTGCACAGTTTGCGGCCAGATGAATATGACCAGGAGCATAAAAATCACTCAAGGACTCGTGTGGGGTGGGGAAGGGGTCTTTACTGGAAAACAAGGTAATGTTTGAGTTTTAAAGAGAATATTTGAAGAATTTTTGCATCATTGCTCCTGGATATGTATTATTTTTCTAAATGAATTACTTAAATCGTGGGTTGCAGGAGCTTTTGTGTAAAACTCCTTAACAGTACAGGATCGTTGTCTCCTGGGTGCTAGAGGCAGGGGTGCTGCACCCAGTCCTGTTTTTAATGCATGAAGGCGGATTCTGTCGCCTTCTGTGGTCTCGCCCCGGGGTCGGGTGGGTGAATTCCTGGGGCCTTAACCTTGGCTTCCAGGGCTGGAAGCAGAGTAGACACTGACTGTAGCATTGCTTTGTTAAGGTAGAGATTAGATAAACAAAGCTTAATCCTAAACTTCCGGGAAGTGAGGAATTAATAAAAAGGCCTAGGTTAAGACTAATGGGTAGTGCCGGCACCGCAGCTCACTAGGCTAATCCTCCACCTTGCGGCGCCGGCACACCGGGTTCTAGTCCTGGTTGGGGCACCGGATTCTGTCCCGGTTGCCCCTCTTCCAGGCCAGCTCTCTGCTGTGGCCTGGGAGTGCAGTGGAGGATGGCCCAAGTGCTTGGGCCCTGCACCCCATGGGAGACCAGGAGAAGTACCTGGCTCCTGCCATCGGATCAGCACAGTGCGCCGGCCGCGGTGGCCATTGGAGGGTGAACCAACGGCAAAGGAAGACCTTTCTCTCTGTTTCTCTCTCTCACTGTCTGTCCACTCTGCCTGTCAAAAAAAAAAAAAAAAAAAAAAAAAAGACTAATGGGTAACATAATCAATGGAAATAGAGTGTTGCAGTACTCAGAAGTGTGCCCTGTAAGATAGTTGTTGATTAGGACGGGGAGCAAAGTTGCTGCACCTGGGAGAAACCTGCCGGGTGCCACGTTCTCCAGGTGACCTGATGCGGACACTGCCCTGGGAAGCCCTCGGGCTGACTTCTCCGCGCTCTGCCCCAAAGTACTGCCTGAGTCGGATCTTGAGGAAACATCGGGCAAACCCACATGAATGAATTTCTACAATAAAACTGGCTTCAGAAATAGCAGTATCATTAAAGACAAAGACAGATGGACGGGACGTTCTGGGGGAAAGGAGTCCCGGAGATGGGAGAACTCAGTGCCGTTCATGACCCAGGATTTTCTTTTTGTTTCCATTATTGGAACAACTGGGAAAATTAGAATAAAGCTTACAGACTGGATAGTAGTATCTGTCAATGAATTTCACTTTTCTGGTTTGGATATTTATGTTTTTAATGTCAGAAATATCTTGGTTTTTAAGAAATTCAATCTGAAGTATTTAACAGTAAAGGAACATCTCCTTCACAGTGTTAACACTTGAAGAATCGAGACTATGGGGACCGGCGCTGTGGCATGGCAGGTTAAGCAGCTGCTCGCAGCACCGGCATCCATATGGGCGCCAGTTTGAGACCCAGCTGCTCTACTTCTCATCTAGCTCCCTGCTAATGTGCCTGGGAAGGCAGCAGAAGATGGCCTTGGGCCCCTGCATCCACGTGGGAGATTGGATGAAGCTCCTGGCTCCTGGCTTCCGCCTGGCCCATCCCTGGCCATTGCAGCCATCTGGTGAATGAACCAGCAGATGGAAGTGCTCTCTCTCTTTCTCGCTCTCTCTATCTTCTCTCTGTAACTCTATCTTTCAAATAAATAAAAAATGAATCTTTGGGGCCGGCGTTGTGTAGTGGACAGAGCCTCTGCAGTGCCGGCATCCCTATGGGCACCAGTGGAAGTCCTGGCTGCTCTCTTCTTGTCCAGCTCCCTGATAATGGCCTGGGAAAGCAAGTCCTTGGGCCCCTGCACCCATGTGGAAGACCTGGAGGAAGCTCCAGGCTCCTGATTTGGTATCAGCGTGCCTCTGGCCGTTGTAGTTGTTTGGGGAGTGAAGCAGCAGATGGAAGACCTCTCTGTCTCTGCCTCTCTCTAACTCTGCCTTTCAAATAAATTTTTTAAAAATATTTTATTTAATTTAGAGGTAGAGTTATAGACAGTAAGAGGGAGAGACAGAGAGAAAGGTCTTACTTCAGTTGGTTCACTCCACAAATGACTGCAACAGCCGGAGCTGCGCCGCTCCGAAGCCAAGAGCCAGGTGCTTCTTCCTGGTCTCCCACATGGGTGCAGGGGCCCAAGCACTTGGGTCATCCTCTACTGCTTTCCCAGGCCATAGCAGAGAGCTGGACTGGAAGTGGAGTAGCTGGGACTAGAACTGGCGCCCATATGGGATGCTGGTGCTGCAGGCGGGGGATTAACCTGCTGCACCACGGTGCCGGCCCCTCAAATAAATCCTTTTTAAAAAAATGAATCTTTAAAAAAAAAAAGAATCTGGAAAATGGGAATATTTTAGTAATATGCTTAGTAACCTTTCTCTAAGTCTGAAGTTATTTAAACATAAAAAGTTAATTGTGGCACAGTACATTAAGCTGCTGCCTGGAACTCGCACATTTGATATCGGGGTGCCTGGTTCAAATCCTGGCTGCTCCGCACCTCTGATCCAGCTCCCTGCTAATGCACCTGGGAGAAAGCAAGTGTCCGGGTTCCTGCCACCCACATGGAAGACCCAGATGGACTTCCTGGCTCCTGGTTTTGGCCTGGTCTAGCCTCTGCATTTGAGGAGTGAACCAGTGGATGTAAGATCTCTGTCTGTCTCTCTTTCCATCACTTCCCTTTCAAATAAATAAATCTTACAAGATAAATAAAAAAAATTAAAGCTCCCCCTACCATAGTTTTGGTAGCTATAGATACACAGCTGTATGGAACAGGGGCAGACATTTGGTGCAGTGGTTAAGCTGCTTCTTGGGATGCCGACATCCTGTATTGGAGAGCTTGAGCTCTGCTTCTGATCCAGCTGCTTGCTCAGGAGACCCTGGGGAGCAGCAGGTGATGGTTCGAGTACACGGGTCCCTCTTACCCACATGGGAGACCACAGCTGGGTTTTGGGCTCCTGACCTTGACCTGGACCAGCCCTGGCTGTTGCAAGTATTTGGGGAGTGAATTGAAGATCTCTCTGTCTTTGCCTTTCTGCCTTTCAAATAACAAATGAAAATTAAAAAATACATAATAAGAGCAAATTTGAAGACCGGTGATACATTGATTCACCAAAAAAACCAATACACACATACATACCTTTTTTATTTTTAAAGTTAAAAATTGGGGCAGGCATTTGATGCAGTGGTTAAATCACTGCTTGGGTACCTGCATCCCACACCCAGGTGCCTAGTTTGAGTCCCAGTTACTCCCTCCCGGCCCAGCTTTCTGCTAGTGTGCACCCCAGGGGGCAGCAGTGTTGGCACGCGTCTGGAGGTCAGGCTAAAAACGGATCGGGTTGTGAAACACTGCTCTCAGCTGGTGCCGCGGCTCACCTGGCTAATCCTCCGCCTGCGGCACCGGCACCCCGGGTTCTAGTCCCAGTTGGGGCGCCGGATTCTGTCCCAGTTGCTCCTCTTCCAGACCAACTCTCTGCTGTGGCCTGGGAGGGCAGTGGAGGATGGCCCAAGTCCTTGGGTCCTACACCTGCATGGGAGACCAGGAGGAAGCACCTGGCTCCTGGCTTCGGATCAGCTCAGCCTGCTGGCCATAGCGGCCATTTGGGGGGTGAACCAATGGAAGGAAGACCTTTGTCTCTCTCTCTCACTAACTCTGATTGTCAAAAAATAAAAAAAGAAAAAAGAAAAAAGAAAAAAAAAAAGAAAAAGAAACACTGCTCTAAGCAGTGTTGGGATGGGGAAGGGAATTCATAGGGAGAATTATCTGTGAAGAACAGTATCTGACAAAAGGGCAACACTGACATGGAGCACCAGACCTAACGTAATCTTTGATTTGGTTATAATGTAAATGCCGTGCTGGGAATTCAAGGTTGGAATGCCAGTTAGAAATGCTGAAAAGGGGCCAGTGCTGTGGTGTGGCAGGTGGGACCGCCGCCTGCAGTGTCTGCATCCCATATGGATGCTGGTTTGAGTCCTGGCTGCTCCACTTCTGATCCAGCTCCGTCCATTGTGGCCATCTGGGGAGTGGACCAGCAGATGGAGGACCTCTCTCTCTCTGCCTGTGCCTCTCTATAACTCTGCCTTTCAAACAAAATGAATAAATCTTAAAAAAAACTGCTGAAGAAATTTTAAAAGTTGTAATTGTTAATTCATAAGAATGCTATATGAAATTCTGCAGGTTACCTTACGACACACGATTGTGATGCCTTTGAATTCACAACCTGATTGCTTTTACCTGCTTCGGATTCCTGTAAAGTCACCTGCCAGCATTTTGTATATGACAGGTTTGGAAAAGCCAGAGAAACTTGAATTAGGTCTACGAAGATGATAAAGACAAAAGGAGCTCTGGAAGAAGTGGAAACCGCTGATAACACGGCCAGGGTGTGGGACTGTTAGCACAAAGATCGTGCAGCAGGAGTTAAATTCAGAGTTTGTGGCCGTTTCCTGTGAGTTTGTCTTCCTCCAGTCTCTGTTTCTGCAGCAGCCCATGCACCATTGCAGAGAGAACGGTACCGATGAGTGGAACAGGAATCGCATTGCCTGTTCTTGGGCAGCTTTCCCCAGCATATTGCCGTTCTGACTGAACAAAGAAGAGGTCGCAATTACATAGAAAGTACGAGTGCTTTAAGAAGCTGAAAAATCTTGCGGTACCTTCCTTAAGTGAAAGAAGTGACTGGTTGAGGGGACTCGAGACTGCTTGTGCATTGTGAGGATGATGAAGCTGGGTGAAGAAAGCAAGGGGACAAAGCAGTTGATGGAGCTTGTGACCCTGGGACTTGGCACTGAGTTTTGCTAAAATTGATCTACCTTGGGCGGCGTCATTGCCCCTAGCACGAGGGAGGGAAGAAGTGTCTC